GGGGAAAAATGTCAAGAAAATCCTGTCAGTTTATGATCCAAGAAAACATAAGGAAAACATAAAAATATTCAAGGGAACAGAAGAGCTCTTACCCTCTATATCCATCGATGTGAAAAAAATGGTGAGCATTCCTGGCACAACGAATGCGTAAATTCCAATCCTGGGAACATCCGGAGAGCTTCTTGCAAGAAACAATGGTTTTTTTTTTTTTCTGTGACTATGCTGGTTATGCCAAATAGAAAATTGTGCTAAGCAAAGACAGGACTTAGGCAGCTGAGGTTGAACCAGAGATGGAAAAAATCCACAAATATGTAGAACCCTGAGATTTTTTCCTAGAGATTACTTTGAAATAAGACTGAGTGAAGAGTGTGCCACCTAATTAACTGTTGGGTAGCAGGATAACATTAATGGGGACAGCTCACAGCAGGTTTGTGAACATGAGATTAATTATGGCAATAATTAATGAGGCTTTTGCCAGTTACACACACAGAGATGTGACCATCACGTACTCCTTTATCAGTGGTTTCTTCTCAAAAAAAAAACAAACCCTGTGATAAACCCTGCAGAGTCTTTGTCTCTGAGAGTCCTTCTTGAAAGTCCGAGGATGACCCAGGCTCCTCAAACTGAGATGCAGTATGTCTGAGTAGCTGAAGGATTTTACTGCTAGCTTTGCTTTGTTTTGAAATAACTTCTCCAGAAATAATGCTTCCTCCATGATGGCCAGGACTTTGGGACAAACATTTACCCGGATTGTACAATTTGTTAGTGGCTACAATTAAAAAAATTCAAATTAAATTTCTTCTTACTGTTTAGGAAGCCAAATATTATTGTTTGTTTTACTGCTGAAATTTTCTTGGTTTTTGAAATAATATCTGTCTAATATATAAATGGATTCCATTTTGAATTGTCATACTGTTTTAGACAGTCACAGGAGGACTGCAAAGAGAAGAAATTTAAATATACAGAAGAAATGTTAATGACTTTTAACTGCAGAAGGGGAAAAATATGAAAAAGAAGAATGCTAGAGAAAAGTGATCAGGTATCATCTCAGACAGTAGGGGGAAAACCAGATTTTTTTTTGCACTGGTTGTAAATGGAAAATAGAAATAGACAATATTTTAAAGGTACTACAGCAAATAAAAACCTTTCCGAGGTGTCAGATGTTGAAATAGTGACATCTGATGCAGACGTTTCTGAACTTTTCAATAAGTGCTCTGAAACTTTGTGCCACAGGCCTCCTTCTAATTCCATAGTGAAACCTCAGAACACTAGGTAGACTTACTTTAAGGACAGCTTGGCATCTTCCTGCTGGCTCTGGACTAGTGCAAGGGGTGGAGCAGCTGCCATCACCGTGTGGCCAGCACGGAGCTCCAATCCCCACTGGCTGCCCACGGACAATCCCACTGTGCAGAACTGCACATCACAGCACTGTCTGACAGAGGCCCCAAGCCTGCTCCTGCCTCATCCCTCCCACTGGCTGCCCACACCTGCCACATCCCATTCTTATATGGCACCTCTCATGGACTCTACATCCCTCACCTGTTTCTGCTCAACTTTTTCTAGGTGTTGTATCCAGAACTTTGCTTATATTTATGCGTGTGAGGCTGAGGTTGATTGTCTTTTTGGGAGATGTGAAAGACATTTTATTATTACTTGCTCGGTGACCTCAGGCAGGCACAGTTAAAGTAGTTGGTGTGGGATGCAGACATTTAATATTCAGGAGCCTGCAGCGCACACATATGACAGCCAATGCAATAAAGCCCATCTCTGAAACATAGCTAATACCTAAAAGGACCTCAGACTATATTATTTTTGGTAGCCAGTTTTTCCTTTCATTGAATAGAAGAGTGAATTTAGATTTCTTCTAGATAAAGAAAATGTTGTCCATCTTCTGGACTGAAGGTGGGGAAATGGCTGGAAACTAATACAGTAGAATTTCAGACTGTTTAGACCCTAATCCTCTGTCCAACCTTATATAGCACTGTCTGAATAGTTCCTGCCATTTCACACCAAAAACAGTTTAAAGACTTTTTTTTCTCTAATGTTATTAAGAAAAGCAGGTACGAAATGCAGCCAGGAACAAAGTGTGAAATATTCTGTACCAGGTAGGTTCTGCTTGCCATATTAAAATTAATAGTAATAACAATAACATTGCTGACATTATTAAAACCTGATTTTCCAGATTGAATTCCATCAGTTCCCATGAAATAAACAATACACCAGGAAATAAAAGACTACAGGAAATACTGTACACACAGGACTGCCAGAATTGAAAAAGGTTTTTAAAAGGGAAAAAGTTTTAAAGAGTAAAGAGTATACATTTAAAAAACTCAATAAATAGGCTTTCAACATCTCCCCTGACTGTTAGGCATGCAGTATGCTTTGTGTACTATAAGCTTTTAAGAAAATATAAAAAGCTGCAGCTTTGAGTCATTGCTAACATGACATCCCTACTTTTTAGACAGGGAATAATTTTTTTTTTCTCCTGCTACTCAGCTGCAGAAATAATGATGGAATTCTTATACTCTGGGGCTTGTTTCAGACATAACTTTTGTTCAACAAGGAGAAACAAGATAGGATGCCTTATTTTGGGGTAGGCTTTGTTTACAGCTCTAGATTTTGTTCTGTATTGCAGCTTGGCAGTTTCTAACCGAAATATGCAGCAAATAATTTCTTAAGGGGTGAGTGCAAAGGAGTTAAAGATCCTCTCTCTGCTTCTTCCCTTCAGTAATTTGGAGCTCATAGGCAAGAGGAATTTAAGAAATTAAGAAATTGGGAAATAGACATGTGACTTTATGCAATTTTTATGACATCAGGTCCCTAATGCAATGAGTGAATAGAATAAAAAATGCATGACTTTCCTTTCCCTGCAAATGTAGCACTTTTCCACAGTTATAATGAATGTTATTTGAAGGTATGCTATGCTTTTATCAGTAGCACTACAAGACTTCTCAGCATGCATTTCAAAATAGTTGCGTGTAAGACTTTTCATCATAAACATTATTTTCAGGAACATTTGACAACTGATTCTTGTAAGAAGTGATTTTTCTAAACTTTAAGTCACTCTGGTAATCGTAAAGTATTTGCTTTTCTCTCATTTCTGAAATCTGTGTATAAAGGAGAGACTGTAGAATGGGAAGTTTATATTCAGTGCATTATCTACGATGCAACAACATGACCATGAAATGTGCTGCGCTCTTCCCAGTTGGGGATTAATGGTTGTGTGTTCCCAAGTGGGGTTGTGTGCTCCCAACTGGCACCTTTTACATCCTCCACTCTCTAAAATACTGATGTAGTGATTTGCTTGACCCAGACGAACAATCCCACAGGCTGTACGATAAATGGACATTCCCCACTCCCTCGCTTCTGCCAGGCAGGCCATTGTGAAGGATTATGAAGGATGTCATCACCATGCAGAGAGTGTTTCCAATCAGCTCTGCAAACTTCCCTGTTTGCCTTTACAGGATGTGGCCAGGCAGCAGGGATGAAGGTCCTTTCCTGCTGGTTTTGGACATGCTGGATAAGGAAGAACATCTTGAAAGGAGGAGGAGGGCTCACTCTTCTCACTTCAAGAGACTTCTGGAGTACAGGAGGGACATGAAAGGCCAAGGCCTGGGCAACGAGGGAGTTGGTTGGGCTGGGACAGAGTAGAACCTCCTATGGGAACAGGGAACTTTGCTGCAGCAGGGTGCAAACTTACAGGCTTTGAGCATGACATCCTTGGACATCCAGAAACACCGAGAGTGTTGAGTGTTGTCGTGCAAGCTAATGCATGTTGTTGGAATTTTGCCCTGAATTTGCCTTTTGTTTGTTTACCTCTGCAGATTTCTTTAGTATTGCTTAGAAACTATGTGGGGACATCAAAGAATCCTGCTGACTCCTATGATGTGTTTACCTGCCCTCTGTTTGAGAGAATCAGTCAAAAATCTGAGACAAAGCACATATGAATATTCATCCAAGAACTAATTCCTCCCTTGTGCCTGTAGTGATCTCTGGCATCTTATACAGGAAGCACAGGCTTTGAAGTGTAAATAAAATTTAAGTTTACTGACCTAACACTGAGATGGTAAGGCCTGGGAGCAGGACTGGAGAGGGAGCAGACAGGAGCTGGGACAGCTGGAGGGAAACTCCTCCTAATCATGGCTATTCCTGCTTTGCCAGTGGAGGCTCCTGCCCTGCACAATTCAGTTACCTGCACACAGTGGCTTGTATGGATTTGTAGCTGCTGGTGGAGGTGATGGAAGCAGTAACCTTAAAGATATTTTGCTGTTTTGGGGGAAAGCCTAAATTACTTGTGCTCTAAAGCTGACCCCACTATTTTTGTCTGAACTTCCTTTAGTCTGCAGGGTCAGCTTTGGGAAATGTGTCTATCATGTATTTTTCATTTGAAAGGCTGCATTATCCAGACTTTTATATATATATATCTCCTTTTTTCTTTTATTTTGTATTTTTCATCATATAGATGGGTGCCTCCATGACTACTGCATGGATAAAATGGAATAAACAAATACAGAAAGCAGAAATTTAAAAAAAAAATCACATTAGTCAGATCTGTATATATGTAAGCTTTTCTAAGCCATGGTACTCTTTGCTTGGAAGAAATCATGTCGTGTTACTCCTGCTGCTATCATACACAACTGCCGGTAGAGCACAAAGTAATTTACTTTCCGTGTTCTAAGTACCAAATTTTTTATGTTAATCTGCAACTTCCTTTTTTTTCCTGACATGTCTTTTTGCTCTGCCTTTTTGAAAATTTACCATAATACTCTGTACTAAGTGTTCCTTATCCTTCGGCATTTGTTGTTGGGTTTGACAACCTTGATTTAAGGTTCATGAGCATTGTGCTGAAGAGACCATCAGAAATGTACATTTTTCACCTTTGGTCAGGAGAATTTTCTGTCACAATGGAAAGGAATGCTTACTGCTCTGCCACGTGACTGTATGTGCCACAACAGCTGCACCTCTCCTACTCTCTCACACAAAAATCTCATGTGTCTTACCTTGTCCAGACAGGCTGTCTTGGTCGACATCCTTGAAAGGAGGTTCTGTTATATCTGTCAGTTCTTGCTTCTCGTCAGCTTCCTTCTCCACCTCTCCAGCAGGCAGGAGATGGGGTGTAGTGAAACTTCCTGCAGTGGCCAGCTCCACTGGAGACTCGTAGCCACCGGTGAGTAAGTCTTTGCCAGCAGAGTCATCTGCTGGGGGAGGCAAATAGGAATCCTCTGATTTCGGAGGACTGCTGGTGCTACCCAGAGCACTGAAAGGCACTGTGAAACCTGGGTGGTCGGTAGCAATAACTTGGGTGTATGGATATCTGTCCTGAAATGGTTCTCTGGAGGGTTTGGTAGGAAAATCAGGTTCAGATGTAATAAAATTATTAAATTCTTCAGGGATACTGATTTCTTCACTTAGAGCAGGGCTTTCAGTTGTAAATTCATCAACAAATACATCTCCTCTTTGATCCACTGTTGCTGGACTGGGATAACCTAGCGGGAGTTCCTCCTAAAAAAGTTTTTAAAAAGCAGCATTCATTATTATGTTTGAGTTTCATTGATAAAAAGGCAATAACCTTTAGCCACATGAGTTAGCAAATAGCTAAGCCAACATGGAATCATATTATGGGTTGGGTTGGAAGGGACCTGAGAGCTCATCTAGTCACAATTCCCCCTGCCATGATAAGTGATATCTTCCACTCGACCACATTGCTCAATGACATATCCAACCTATCCTGGAACACTGCCAGGGCTGGGGCATCCTTAGCCTCCTCAGGCACCCTGTACCAGTGTCTCACCATCCTCACAGTAAAGAACATCTACTGCATATCTAACTTAAATTTTCCTCTTTCAGTTTGGAAAATGAAAGATGGAAAATTTTCAGTCATTTGTCCTGTTACTACAGATCCTGACAGGATCTGTCTAACAGAGTCCCTCTCCAGCCTCCCTGTAGCCCCCCTTCAGATATAGGAAGGCTGCTACAAAGTCATAGGATGTGTAAAATGTTTGACATGTGCATTTGATCCTAATCACAGTTCCTGTAATTTTAAAAGTGGCCAAAGACAGATGACCTTAGCTAGCCCTCTAAACTGCTCTCTTTCTCTCATTAAGATGTACTACTGAACTGATGAGACACTGTTTACTTTGTAATTAAATCTGGAAACCATAATCAAACTGTAATAGTCACCTGTAAATGCTCTAAGCAATATCTCTGTTGCAGTAGAACAACACAACATTCATCCTTACAGAATGTACAAAAGGCACATATGTTATTACAGCATAAGAAACTTTTTGTGTGTTTATCTACCTCTTAACACTATTTAATTTCTTTTCTCGTGGAGAAATAAACATGAAAGATGTTATTAACCTACCAAATCAGGGCCTGCCAGAGGAATAGTGACCACACCTTGGATATCATTGTCTAAATCACTAGGTTGTATAACAGTTTCTGCAAAGAAAATCAAAAACATTAGCGAGAGAGAGAGAGACAGCACAGAATACTGCAGCACCAGCACATTGAAAACTGATCAAAACACATAAACTCAGTTAAAAAAAAAAAACAGTACTAAAATGTTCTCCATCAAAAAATTTTTGGCTTTAGTGCTCAAGTTGCTCCTTTCACCTCTCAGAGATCTTAAAAGTACTTGCATGCAAGCTGTTCTTTTAAAATTGGTTATTAGAATTAACTACTGGGAAAAAATTGATTAAAATATTTATATTGAGGTATTCTATATAAATTTTTTCTTGGGACTTTTCCTCTACATTATAATATGACACTTTACCCTTATAGAAAGTACTAGTTCAACTAAATAACTTTTTTTTTGGGCAGGAAAATGCTGCTGTTTGCAAATGAAACACTGTAGCTAAAATTAGGTATGGGTTTTGAGGTTGTTTCAGTAAATATGCATATGGAAAAAAATTTCAAATTATTTTTCCCCCTTCTTAGCATATCTCTGCGAAAGTAGTTTGCTAGCTTTGCAAAAATAATTGATGAACTAGAAAGGGATATTTGTTAGCTGGATTACTGATCAGGATGCAGACCTTCAGCTTCTGCTGGAGGTTTTCACACACAGCTTGTCTTCTACACTCCCTCTGTGTTTCAGAGTGTGAGTGAAACACATCTTTACTGATTTTATCTTTGGATCAAATGCTGTTTACGGTGTCAATCTCTCTGATGTTGCTGAGAGGTTAGATGGATTGTTTACAACCAAGACAGACCTTTCAGAAAGCTAATCTGATGTTAGAGGCAGATCTCACTTTTTTTTCCTTGTTAAAGAAAGGAGAGGGTCCATACTGGAGGTTAAAATGATGCAGTGAATACTTGCAGTATTTATTTTATTTTTCTCCTCTTAATGATCTTAGTGCTTGAAAAACAAAAAAAAACCAAGAAAAAAATCTTCTAATATGGTTGCAAGTCAGGCTGTATAAAGACACATTTTATTTTAAAATTTAACTTATTTCAACACCAAGGAGAATGGACTATGTCAGATGAAAATAATCTGTTAGAGAAGCAAAGGGCACCTTATTCAAATTGCATCAGTTTGGATAGACAAGATTCAGGCTTGTGCCTGGCACCTGCCACCTGCTTTACTGACCATCAGTAAACTGAAGTGTTCCAAGGTCCACTGGCAGGGACTGGTCTTCATGGAGTGCGGTGGCAACCAGCTGCTGAAGGTCTGTTACTGTCAGTTTAGTTGCTGATATTTCCCTCTCTTCAACTGGAGAAATTGGTATTTTTTCACTTTCAACCTTGTTCGATCCAATAGTCGAGACGTCATCTGCTGTGCCTTTGGTTTCTGAGCCATCTCTCTCAAAGTTCACCACATATCGAGCTATTGTGCTGCTTGATCTGCAAGGGGGAAAGGTGAAAATGCCCAGAGCAGAAAGATCAATCACTGGCTGAGAAATGATTTTACACGCAAACAAATGTGCAACCATAACATATTCTCTTCTGTAACAATAATGCAAATTTACTTCTCTCTAATGAGACTGTCACCTTCAAATTACTTTTCATTCACCTAACTACCTTTTTTTCCATGCATAATTTCTAATAAAAATTCCCACATTGAAGACAATTGCAAAAATCTTCTAACGTAATCTGATTTAATCTGACTACTCAGAATCTGTAGAACTGGTAACTGGTAATGTAGTCTGAAGTCCTTGACTACTGATTCAAACAGCTATAAAGGCATGCTGGAGTTATTAGAATCCATAATCACACATTAATTATTCAGAAACCTATGAAAAGAGATTAGATAGTGCATAAAACTGCAGATAAGCAAAAATCTTATCACAAGAGACAATTTTTTTGCTCTTTTTCAAAGAACAGCAAGTTAATGTGGCAAGCAAATCACTTTTTCACGATGGGAGTTAGCTTTTCAGAGTCCCAGTGGGTGTGTATGGCTTCTTCCTAGACATTAATGTTTAACAGAAGTCTCAAATATTTACCACTTTTAATACATCATTTTCTATACACATTAAATTCACCTAATTAAATGAAAAATAGTGAGTTCATTGTAAACATTTCTATACCACTATGTTACTTTTTTTACAATGTCAAATAACTATAGAGATAAGAATTTAACTTTTATCTAGTGTGTGCTATATATTTGCATTTATATGACATTGCAAGAATTCAGGAAACATATTAGAAAATTCTGCCTTTTAAAGCATGAACAAAGAGAAATTCTGGGAAACTGCTAGACAAATTATTCCCTAGTAGCACTTTATAGCTGCAACAACAATAGATTCTGTAGCTGTTTGTATTACCAGTGAAAATCTCCCTTCATTTTATCAAGCTAGTAACTGGTCTCTTTGCTATTCTATCTGGCTTGATAATAGAGATAACAAATCAAATTCTACATACTTATTGGAAATATTGTGTACATGGGAATACAGCTAGGAAAGAGCATATCAAAAATGAAAATTTGAATATAAAGGTTCCCTACTTATTTTTTACACTTTCAGTATATGGCTGATATAAATCTTTAGTCATATAAATGTGAATTTTCTTAGGTCAAACATTTTCTTTTCTTCAGAGACATGCTGATAAAATTTGATTATATGAAACATTCCGATTAAAGTTAAAGGTGTCCCTTACACTTTATATCACAGATTTTGTACTTAGGTGGAACACAGCCAATTCACTTTGTCACATCAAGATAATGACATTTATAGTCTTATCTATGCACATCATAAAATTATTAATAATAATAATTATTATAATTACTCTATAAAATTATGAATGATAGAAAGATTACCCATCTTTCTCCTTCTTCTGTCTTCATATCATCGCAGAATAAAGAATGTGAGAAAGGATTGCAAAAGAAAGAAAAACAAGGATTCATGTTTACTGGTAAATCACAACCATCTTTTGACAATTTATCTTATCTTCTATGTGTCATCTATAATTTTTATCTCTGTGTGAAACTGACAGTCTACTCTCCATCAGTTCACTTTTTCCCTTCCAAACAATGGGAATCACTGTGGTTTGCAAGGGGAAACAGGAATTTTACTTTACCATGGCAGTCTGAAATATCAGCTTTCCTATTTCTGTCATCAAATGGTGCAGTTTGAGCCCTGTCATTGCTAATGTCTGTGGTGGCAATGGGCACTTGTGGCAGTACTTTCCATGATCAGTTACCACCCATGATGTCAACTCAGACTGTAGTCACAGGGGTAACTTGAAGCATTAATTACCTCTGGAAGACATGCCTGTGTTGACCTTCTACATATAATGCCCAGGTTTTTTCCCTGGTGAGTTCTCCAGAATACTTATGATGTTGTCTTCATTGCCTTGTGGGAAATGCTGCTAAAATAGGTAGCACTATAGCCAAGGGAGAATGGACAGTAACACCCATCTTTGCTGATCTGTAACTCCCAAAGCTGCCTAAATTACTGGATAATGGGAATCAATCAAATTTTTCCACACTGATGAATGTTCTTTCATACCAGCAAAGTCCAAGATATGAAACCAAAATGGATCCCAGACCTTCTGGAGTCACAACTAAACGAGGTTGGGTATTGCAAGTTGTAACTGTGACATGCTGCTACATATTTTCTCTGCTTGTACCGTAGTAGGCAGCTTTTTGTTTTATTATTTTTATATAAAAAAAACCAAGGAACTAATTTTCAGACTATTTTGCTCTTCTCTCTCCTTCTCTCCAGTAATTTTTGCAGAGAGAAATGCTAAGAAGGATGTTCTTGTCTAAAATTGCATTGCAATATGAGTGTTCGTCAACATTTATTAAATATTGCTAGAAGTACTGAATGTTCCTGATGCTGTGCCATAAGACCACATAAAGTTGTCTTTTTTCCCTGCTCTTTTTTTTCCTTTTTGCAGTTTCTTACTATTAGTTATTTGTTTTTCAGTTGATTCTTTGTGCAATGTCCTCCCCCTCCCCTATAGATTCTCTATTGAAAAGGTACACAAGAGGTTGTGTTAGTAGTAAGCACACAAGGAAGCTAAAACTAAAAGAAATGGCAAGACAGAACACAAATTTAATGAAAAAGTGAAACTTTTGAAATTGTTTGAGAGGCCTGAGAAAGAACTACTGGAAAAGTTTTATATGTGGGAACACGTATCCTCCTGCAACCTTCACTGGGACTTATGAAGGGCAACAAAAAAGTTGTCACCTAAATAATCATGCTACTAACTCTCTTTATCTTGTCATTTAAAAAAATTTCTTAAATCAGGGTTGTTAAGAAACAATTAAAATATTTTATTGTGTCCTTCAAGCTTCAGGGAATCAAAGCTATTTTTGCTAATTCAAAACCTCATATTTTCACTTGGGATGTATCTGCACTTCCTGTCATATTGTCCCTATGATATTCCCATGAAATTGCTTTCTGTTTACAGCAATATGCACCCCACTGTTCTACAATTCTCTTCCTTTTTGAGGACAAGAAGGAAGAGGAGAACCCTAGGACCCAACAAAAAAGAGAGCCCCATTTTCTTACTTACTTGAATCCTAACACGCGTATTTCTTTGAATCCTGGAAGTTTCTCAAATATTTTTTTCATCTATAGAAAACCATAAAAACATATCAGCATAAGATCTATGACTAAAAGGCAATCACAAGTTGACTACCTAGACACTATTTTTCATATTTCAGAAAGAGCTTTAAGAAACAGTCTCGACTGCGCTCTTTTGGGTATCATAATTGCTCAGCTTAAACACAGTATTTTCTTTGTATATACTTGTTGTATTACCTGTTAATAGGCAAGAAGAAGCACAAAATATTGCTTTTCTTAGTAATGTAATTATGCGAACAAGTGATAATCTATTTCATAACACAGCAAGTAAAACAACATTAATCAAATGTTTTTCTCATTTCAGTAGTTTTGATTAATGAATAATTTTGTGATTCAAGTCACCTGTAAATTGTTAATTATTTAGAAATATTAAGCAACTGCAAATGTGTTTAGATTATCTGACAAATCATTTAGAAATTAAACATTTGAACTGTCTTGTACAAACAGAATAACATTTTATATTTTAATGTTAATCATAGTACAATTACAAGGTTTTGAATAGAAGAGGCATTACATGTGTACTATACAATGTCTGCAGGCACTTCTGTCTGAGGGTAATACTGAAAATCTTCAGAGAAACCATTTTTTGCCAGCTCTGCCAATGCATCCTTCACCATTTTTCTACGCATATCTGGAACTGAACCAGGAAAATGAAATAGCTTCCACTAAGGAATGCTCATGAAACTGATGAGAGGCTTTAGTTAATTTTACTAAGAAAACCTTTTGGGAACCTCAAGTCATTAACTGCTATCAGTTAAACTGATAGCTGAACATTCAGTTAGTATTATTAACTGTATGAAAATAAGAGGGATGTTCCAATTCTTACGTAAGCCGTGGTAATGTGGTAATGTGCAATGAGTGTATGTCCTTTGAAGAATAGTTCAGACAACAGTAGCTAATTACTTTTAACGTTTATATTACTTTTCTCATTAGGTTTATTGTAGAAATTAAATTATGACAAAGTGCTGCCCATGAATCCCTGATTAAGTCTGAACAAAATTCCTAAAGTTATTCTGTTCATCCATGATCTGAGGTTTCTATTGATGTCAAAGATGTTGCTTGTCAGCTTGCTGGCTGAATAGATGGCTTAAATGAGGGGATAAGCTGATACAACACATGAAGGAAACATGGAGGTCTTGAAAAAAAAGGAAAGACCTGTTTAAAATGAGGGCAGTATATTCTAATCCTATTTTGTGGTGAAGATAATTTCATAGTATGAATCTCAGCCAAGGTACAAAGTCTGCATTTTTTTGCATTCACTATGCGTCCCTACCTGTAGCTGAAATTTAGCAGCTAGTTGTTGGTACTCTGGGGAGCTGGGGTCACTAAGTTCAGCTGTGTACTCCTGATCAGTGAGAGTCACACTGAATTCCACCATTTGCTCCACAGGCAGTTCAGGGACTGCATTTGTTCCCAGCTCCTGGAAAAGAAAAGGAAAGGACAAAACGGGTAGAAATAAAACTAAGCGATTTTCCCCCTCCACAATTCAGTATTTAATAAAAAGAAATGTTCCTGTTTAAACCCATTCCCAAAATAACTTTATGAACTACATTCCACAAAAGGTGAAAGTTCCTAGGTATATCTGTTGGCTTAATTCTTCTGTATTTGCAAGCAAGTTTCTATTACTTGAGAGGTATCTTGAAAGTTGCCTTTGACATGCATAAATGAAGATGAAGCCTTTCTTGTGAAGACAAAATCAAGCCCTTCTTGCAGAGACTGTTACCAAGTCTTGGTTCCACCATCCTAAAGTCAGACAGCTGTTTCATGTTCAGAAGTTTGCATTTGTTGTTTTGCTGATAATAAAATGAAATTATCCTTACCCATGATACACCTTTCTTACGCAGTTGACTTTGCTGCTATTAAAAGTTGTTGTATTTTGTTGGCTATTTCCCAACAGTATTTGCGGCTTTTCCCTCCACTGTGAGGCCACATGTCTGTGCTGAGACCACAGCAGCCAGGACAGGGAAAACAGCAGCCCCTCCCTCTCTCGGGGGTGTCTGTCCCCGCAGCTGCTGTTAGTGGGCAGAGGGGCAGTCCCAGTGCCCTGCTGCATGGCTGCTCTCAGGAGACAGCAGTGGAGAACCCTCTGACAGCTGGCTGGGCAGAAAAAGGCAAGGAAGGCCCAGCCCTATCTCCTAGGTTGTGGAAAGCACAGCAGGTATTCTTTTTTGGCATTACTTAATGAAAAGCAACGTTACAAAATGGCACAAAATAGGCAACAGGCCCCTACTTAAAATAATGAAACCTGCCCAAAAACAGGTTGCCATGCTTTTGTGCTTTCTACTACATACTCAAACACCATCATCCCTACTCCAGTAGAGAACAGATGCTAACAAACCCCTTCAGTCCTGCTAGCTGAAACAGAGGGGAGTACTTCTTGCTTTTAAGCACTGTCTATAAGGTTTTGCCCTCTTTCCTGTTAGCTGAGCTCAAAAGGAAAAGGTGAGTGAAAAAGTGGGTAGGAACACAGGCTGCCCTCACCTTCACAGGAGTCTTTGTGTCATTGAAAATTTCATTGAGCAATGTGCCGTTAGGTGCAGATGGAGAGATGGGTGTGCCAGGAGAGCCTGCGGGGTGGGGGAAAGAAAGAAAAGTCAGGAAAGAACGGTTTGCACATCAGAAGTCTTCCCCTTTGTGTGTTGGTCAGGGATCAGCTCACTGGAGAAGCTTTCCCTCAGGAGGGTGTGCTTGAGCACAAGCCTGTGCCAGTGGGAGGTGGCCATGACTTAGGGTGTGGGTAAATCTGCTGCATTTTATAAAATAAACAAGCTTTCCTCCAGGTCAAACATTAGTGGTGTGGCATGTGTGTGACTGAAGGCAAAAATGGCACTGACTGCATCAATGTAATTGTGTGAGTTAATAATATTTGGTCATTTCCTGTATGCCACATCATATGTTACCAAGTGTCTAGGCTTAATTTTGCCAATTGATATCTTTGTCCCTATGAGAGCCACTTTTCTCTAGGGCTCAATTTAAAGTAACAAGAGACATTGACAGAGTTTTCCACCTAAAGGCCAAATTACCATGCTGGAAGTCCTTCTCAATAAAATTCTGTAATATTTCTTAAAAATATATGTTCAGGATGGTTTCTCCTTGAACCAAAATGATGATATTTACAGATTTTTATCACTGTGTGAATTGCTAACATTATTTTAAAGATTTGAAGTACACAACAGGCCTAATTGTAATAATTGGATCAATTTATTATCTTGGCATCACTCTGACTTTCTTGCTTGTCAGTATTTATTTGCCTTGCTTGCTTATTTTGGTTAACAAAATGCAGCAGTTGACATTCTAAATGGCATTTTTAGCTGAAGAAATATTAACACTATATTATATGTTTGAAACTAGGTAAACACATACATTTGAAGACAAACTTTGAATGCAACATTTGAGCAGAAAATAAAGAGATAAAAAAATTATTCTCAGAGATTATTTTGCTTAAACATTTTCTTTCCACTGAACTTGTCATGCTTCTACAACATTTGTTAAATTATAGCCTTCTAAGACCTTCTAAGAATCATTTTTCTTAGCAATTTTATTTAACAGGCAGACACAGAACAAGAAGATTTCATTTTACCTGTAGAAATGGAGGGAATGTCTTCCACCTTTTTGCCTCCTGTTTTCTCTGCTGATATTTCATCTTTCCTATCAATCCAATAGAAATGAGTGATTTAATTATCTGCATATTGTACTGTCAATGACAGAAGTGTAAAAAAATCCAAAAACATATAGAAATGATTCCTATATTAAGTGTAGTTTAAATGAGAGAAGTTATCACATTTTGTGACCTGATTAAACAGGCAGTAGAACAGCATAAGGACTCCCAATCCTGTCATGAATCTGCTCATGAGGTTTTGTGACAGATTTTATCAATGCCACCAGAGGGATGGGATCACAGAGATTAAATCAGTGCATTGGGTCTGTTTTTTTCTTTTTACTCTTGGAAGTCCTTGAAGTGTTGATCACTGTCTAAAACAGAAGCACAGCTTCTTGTACATCACCTATATCAACCTTTGTCTTCTTCAAAGTAGTTCAGTTAGTGCTTTGCAATTCTTCTAATTTTAGAGCCAATGGACATTCAGGTTCCAGGTGTGTTTCATATGGTGTGGTGTGAGAAAATAGTGGGTGGGCTTATTTTTCAGTTGTCAGCCTGCATTATAATACCATAAGGATGCTTCCAAATAATTATAGTATCAAATCAGATTCCTGAATCCAGATTATTTTGAGATGTAGGAATGTTAGTGTTTGCTTCTGGATGTAATACTCATAGGTTAATGTATACCATGGTCCCAAAGGAGGACAGCTAAAAACTCAAGGAAGAATATAGTGGGTATGATGTATCACAGGATTTGGTTTGGTTTTGTTGATAATTATTTTATGGTTTGAATTTTACAGTCACGTGGTAATGAATACTAATAGCTACTGTTAGCTTGCTTGAAAAAGAGAAATAGTATCTAAGTACATAAAATAGATGTATTAAATATTCTTTTACTTAGAATACAAATTATTCTATATCCTTAAAACCAAATATTTATATAATTTGTAGCTTTGGGGAAAATTTAGGTTCTTAGAATAGAAACTTTTAAGGGATATTTTGAGATTTTTCTCTCCTGAAATTAGGGAGTAAAGTATAATTCCTCAAAATTTCTGTAGTGCATACAGATTTGTATGCACTATAGAAATTTGTATTGTGAGTATTTGTGAAATTTGCATTATGTGTATTTGTGAAAACTGGTGGGAATGAAAGAAATAAGGGCAATGCAAATGTGTGGTGTGGTGTTAACTGAGACAGTATAAAGCTTCTAGCATAGACAGAAAAGGTGTCCTGAGCTACAGGAACAACACAGATGTTTCACAACATAAATAAAGAACAAAAATGAATGACAACTGATTTACCACCTCCTCTGGATATCTTGTGTGGTGAGAACTAAAGTATTATTTGTAATGTTTTCACAATGTTAACTAGTTATGTGTTGTATCTATACTTGGAGACTGATTTCTCTACATGAAATCCACAGAAGAGACAAAATATTTTCTAGGCCACACAGTAGCAAAGATGAAGCCCAACCATGCATAATGATTGCTGTCTGTATTTCCAGCTAAAATACAAGGAATTTCATGGAAATTCACCTTCAGTATTATGTCTAGGGAAAACAATACTGTTCACAGAGAACCTAAGATCTCTGAGATCAGTCACTTCAAGCCTTGCTGCTGCTGCTTGCACTGGGATGAATGAAAAGGCCTCCCTTTGGACTTCCAGGGGAGTTCAGTTAGGCCCTACATTATTAAAAATATGTCAGATCTCCCATGTCAGAATGAATTAAGATATATAAGACCTCTGTGATCAGGAGACAATGTAACCTATGAATGGAAAAGATTATTTGCCTGAAAAATCTCTTGAAAATCAGAGAAAACTTGAAGGAAAAAGCCATCAATCAGTAGTTGTGGATAATGATTTGTCTTTCTGCACTGTAGTATTTATATACAGAGAAACAAAGTTCAGAATAGCAGTTTTAATTCTGCCATTCTCCAACTTCTGAGCATTGCCAGGAGCATACATTTTCCAAAGAGTTTACAGAACAAAGTATCACATTAATTAACACTGCCATGATGTATAAAAACACAGGAGAAATCTAAGGTGAAGACACAGAGTTTTCATTCAATTTTTTAAAGTAACCTCTCAGCTAAACTTTTATTAAGCTGACTTTCCTTTTGAGAGTTACAGCAAGTTTTGTCACACTCCCAGTCGACACCAGCCTAATGCCAAGCCATGTCTCTGTCAGGGTTTCATGCTCACATTAGTCTGAGAAAACATTCAGTCTTGAAATGAACAGGCAGCTCAGACATTTGACCATATCCATTATTTGTAATTCAGTTACTGTGTCCTATGATATATCCAGTATACACATCTCTCACAGCACACACTAAATACACCACAGTGCTATCTGAGTATCTGCTCACATCCACACACATCTACACATATCTTTACAAAGAAGGCAGTAACATCAAGTGGCAAGGTTCTACTTGTGCTACTTACCTTTCCTGGAAGGTTCTATGTTTTACTCGCTGCAAAAAGATTAAGAAAAACAGCATTTTACTAGTGGGTGTATCCAACAATTGAGCCTGTCAGCTCTTTTGTTTACTATACTTTTATGTTTTCCTTCTAAGACATGCCCCTCCTTTTCCTGAGCAATACTTTGCCCTTTAATAAGCAGGTGGGGAGGGACTTGAAAGTCTTTCCCAGCTTCTAAACAAATATCAGTAATCCTTACCCGTTGAATTATTTCCAGATGCTCTTGGGAATTGCTGAAGTTTTTACCAATGTCAAATATGCAAAAGGTTTCTCTCTGGCAGGCAGTAACCCAGTTCTGATATTCAGAAGTATCAGGAATCCGATCCAGAAAAATACGAAAGGCTTCCCACACAGCTTCCTGGCAGACTGGGTAAGAAGAAAGGGGATGGTGATAGATGCTTTGTACCAAATGGTAAACTTGAAAGCCTTTTAACAGTGATTTGGCATTTACAAATTCATGACACAAGATGGAGGAACACACTTCAAAATGTTGCTTAAAAATTCTTTTAGAGAAGGGTATTTTCAAACCTATTAGAAAAACCATTTTAAGCAAAACTTGCTGGTAATTTAAAAGCTGTTGCCTTTAGCACTTTACTTTGCAAAGCTCATTACTGTGAGATGGGACATTTATTTTCAGTACTTGATACCTACTTTGGCTTAGAGTGAGTTCATTATCTGCATTATCTAAAATATGGGCGTCTCTGAGATTAGTGCAGTAAGTATACTCTAAACTTGCTGTAGGGATGTACTCACCTAGCTGTGTTAGGGCCCCTCAAAAATACCTCAGGAACGACCAGCCCGCCCAGTAGAGCAGCTGCATGTGGAGCAGATGTGGTCAGGTTATTAAAAAGGAACAGGCTATCTTTTGAAAAGATTTATTTATTATGAGCTAGCAATTAAAGCTACTTTCTATCTCCTCCTTTTTCTTGTAACTCTCTGGTATTTGTTTTTCTGAGCAGTTACTGCTGAATAAAGAAATACCATCTGATGATAAGTAATCCAGTTACCAGATAAATGTGACACATGACCTGTTGAGGAGGCATTGTAGTGTGTTCTCCCAGTTTGCCCCACGTAAGGGACTGTCCTCATGGTGACCTAAGCTATGTTGTGTTACTTCAGAGTTGGTGTAAGGTCACAGGAGGCTGAAGTGTCCAACAACTGTCTGAGCTCCTACATCTGAGCTGTTTTGTGTTGTGTGCTCATCTCTGGAAGCAGGGAATACATATATATGTAAAAACGAATAAAACTGTCTAAGTTTTCTTAGCAGGAAAATTCTTTAGATGACTGATATGATCCACAGTGCTTTTTTAGTTACAAATGTGTCATGGGACTTGAAGGTGGGGAGGTCATCTCCTAGGCTTTAGACACAGAAAAGAACCTGAAAATGTATATTCAAAGCAAAATGAAGGCAAGATTTTCCCACAGATGGGTACAAGCTCTCAGGCTCCAGCATGGCTACCGGATTGCTTTTACATGGAGGATTGTACTGTGGTTACAGATTCAAGGATGATTCTTGTATCACCACATTTTCAAGTGTACCTCTTTTTTGCTTACATTCATCAGTTTTGTGTAGATAAATTATCATGCTCAGCTGGGAGGGCAGAAGTCTTTACCAGAAGGTCTGGTCTTTACTTGAAGGAAAATTTTTTTGAGGTTTTGATGAAAGGCATTGTAATGGAAAATATACAATTGTTCAAGGGAGCAGAAACACCTTATGAATGGGTGTACAATTTATTCTGCTGCAGAGTGTGTTTTGTTGCTTTCTTTTTGGGAAGTACTCCAGTTTCAGTTGAAGAACTGGATGACACCTGCTTCGAAAATTTTGTGAGTGTAGGACACTGCTGCAGAAAAGGAATATTTAAGTTTAAACCTTCTTGCACTACAAGACTTCTAGAGTCCAATATCCCAGCTGATGTGCTGCTCTCCAAAAAGCTGGTAGTACTGTTTTTTAAATCAGTTTTTTAAATGAAAGGGCCATAGTTATAGTTTTTTGAGTTCAGGTTAATGATCCCTGCCTGTTTCAGGATAGCTTGTTTTCAGCCCAATCGGAGATGTAAACAGGAAATTTCAGGGACTTTGAGGATTAATTTCTATTTAAGAAATGCTTTTTGGATCGGCCTCTGTGACACGTTTCAGATTTCTGTCTAATGTCTATTGGATGCTACAATGGATATAAAATAATTTTAGATCTACAGGAATATCTACTGACATCAGTGTAGCTCTCCCATGCTGCCTATAGCAAGTGGTTGCTGGAGTAAAATTTTTGCAGCTCCACATCCAGGTATCATTTCAATGGGAAATTGAAACTGGTTCCCCAAAAGAGAGCTGAGGAGCAGCCAGGTTACACATATTAATGTGATTGGATGGTGTCTAAAGAGATAAAAATAGATAAGGAAAGGTGATTCAGAGAGTAGATAGTGCCTTAGATACTTGTATCCCAGAAATGCTGATTAGGTTTTAGAATTAGCTTTGGACCCTCCAGCTGCAGTGGAAATACACACATTTTTTGAATACAAAATCAAACAGCATCAGGATAAAAGACTGGGAGGGGTAGATGAAGGAAGAGAGAAAACTGGACCAAAAATTGGAATGGTACTTCCCTTGTAGGTAAGGGAAGTAAACAAAAAGCTGGGAAGTGACTGACCTGGTTGAGAAAGTCTTGTTTTTGAAATGCCTCAAATATTTCTTCTTTCCTAAGCTTTTTTCGTTACTTGCTAGCAATTATCTCAGTGTTTATTGTATACCAACACTGCCGTAGACTTCGTATAACTACAGATACACCAAAACAATTGTGCAATGACCATTTAATAATTCCAGTACTTGTCTTAAACTGGGGCTATTGACTTTGCATAGCAATGATGGTACCTGCTCTTTTGAGAAAGGCGGTACTTCTTTCAACATTAATGCAAGCACACTTTGTTCTTCATGTTCAGACATGCTAGAACACTGTGCAGTTACTCTGAGTTCATTAGTCCTTTAATTGCATTGTCTTATTTTCTTCTGGTAACCGTCTATCTTGAACCCTGCTGATGCGCATGTAACATTTGATTATCTATGTAAAAATAAAGCATAAAGTTTATCACATGCACTGCCTAAAGGTGAAGAACAAGATAGATTCTGGAAAATTACTGTGTTTCCTCAGTTAAAGGGAAGACTTTGAAGGAGGAAGTACATACTACGATAATCATCTTACCTCTTAATCTGTAGTAAGCTTGGTGACTGGCTAAAATCTGCTTCACTGATTCTTGTGGGCAAACTTTCACACCAGTTGAGAAAAAGGATGACCTCTTTGTTCGGTGTTTTGCCATGTCAAATATCCGCCTTATGGTTGATATCCTGGACCGCTTTGTTGTTCTTTCTGTTTTGTCTGACCCTGAGGCGACTGCAAGATGTTTGGCTTCAGCACGGTTTATTTTATCAGGAATTTCTGTAAAAAAAATAAAAACCAAGAAAGTACATAAACATACTTTGCCTAGGCAGTAGGTACTCGATGCAAGTTCATGTCTTGAAAATGGAAGTGAACTTGATAATTCTTTTTGTTGCATTATAGCGGAGTCAATGCACTGATTGAATGATTGTGCTGAGGAGAAGCAGCCTCTGACCATTCAGGGGAACTGCAGCTCAAGTGACTTAGTAATTTATTTCCTTGTATGTCAACACGTGACCCCAGGACACACAGGGTAAAAGTTTCAGAAGCTCTAAATCCTGTTTTCAAAAGTGATTTGGATTAGATCCACAAAAGACACTTAAGTGCTTGAACTTTGTGCTACAGCATCTCATTTGTGAGCATATCGCCCTGTAGGGAAATTTACAGTACAGTGATAAGTAATGTCTACACTAGCAGATAAGTAAAATGAGAAATTGTTGTACCTTAAGTCTTTAAACCTTATCTTTCCTTTGGGCTTCAAGGAACATCTCCCTTCAAATCAGGTTCATAACCTTGAAGCTACCCCAAGAACTAGACCCTGAAACTTTCAGAAGTTGAACAGGAGTTTTATTGCCTTTGAGTAAAGAAAGACCTGTTTCTATTCTCTCTTTTAGTCCACAGTGCACTCCTCTATCTTTCCCTCACATAAACTGAAGTATTAACCAGAACAGACTTTGATTGTTTCTTTGCAACTGGATGATAAGTGTTGTGAATTCTCTGGCATCATATTTTAATAAACATTTAAATGTTCCTGGCAAAGTGAAACAGTTACAGTAGAAAAAAAAGTGAAATCAGTGACTAGGAATTGAAGACCTAGGATTCAATTTCACATATGAAGCTATTCATTTATGAAAAATGGAAAAGCTTCCAGGCTGTCAAGATAACCTCAAGCACAGGGAACCCCATCCCAAAAATTCAGGACTCATCTGGTTCCACTTCCTAAGTATTTGTGTTGCAGTATTAAATGCAAAATTAATAGCAGCTAAATTTTATGTGAAAAAGTTAATGTTTAAAATAGTGTATAAATGACAGATTCAAATGAGCTGAAATACAGCTTTTTGCAGGATCATGTGACAGAAGCAATGAGTATCTTTTAGGTTATCTTCCAAAATTTTGTATACATTTTAATAAAGAAGTTAAAGTGAATTTGGAAACACCTTTTTTTACTGTAATTTGACCCAGTGGTTACAGATGAAAAATAAAGAAAAATATTAGCAGAATAGAAGACATTTTGAAAGAATTAGAAAGCTTTAAGCAAGGTATGTGTGTTCCTGAATCCTGATGAATCAAGTGAAAAAATTATTTGATTCATTTCAAAACAATTTAAAATTGTTTTAAAGCTTCTAGTGGAAGAATAAGGGGAAATAATATGGTTAAAAAGGAATATGTTCAGTAGGAGTAGCACTATCAAGAAAAGTAAAAGCAAAAAATTATCAGTTTGCTGGAGAAAGAAGTGTCATGCTACATATAACAAACACCAATTATCCTATTCTTAGACAAGCCAAGAGAAAATAAAGAAGGTTAAAAATACATTATCTTGACACTTTGGAGTAGTGTTAATGAAATGTTTAAAGAAAATTGGGGAGATAAATGATGAGAAAAAAATAATTGAAAAACATATTTTTATAAAAAGAACAGTATATAAAATGAACAATGGGGAATGTTCTACTATGTGTGTCAGTAGACATATACATGTATATCTATATATGTCTCAATCCTTATTTAATTCCAAAGGAACATCCATTGCTCACTGTTCATCATTGTGTAGAAATCATAGTAGCAACATCTATATTTTGAGATAGGTGCTACTGTGATATGGAAAAAAGTCAACTGCTTGGTTGTGACAAGTATTCCCTGAAAGGAAGGAAGCTATAAAACAAAGGCAATAGGTCATTGTTATGACTTTTTAATGCATGCCACGGACAGTGACCTGCAGACCTAGAACTGCCTGATTGTTGCAAGGTAATTTAAAGTGATGATACAGTCATACAATGTTTGATATGAAATGAAATGGAAGTAATTTTTCCATATTAATGTCAGGTCATGAACCATAAACTGCATAAAAGGAATTTCCCGTGTGGAAACACATTCTTGGCTTCAACAGAATCCCCAAGTGGCCAAACACTGAGTCAGCTGAGAGACAGAGTTATTTGAAAGTTATATTCAAATAACTGAAGTTTTCTAGAATAGAAAATCAAAATCCCCATGGAAAATAGCCAGTTGTAAGTCTGTTACCTTTCACAAGGTTTATTAACTAAGATAGACCAGCTGCCCAGGCAGACCGACCAACTGGGACAGAGGATTTTGTCACTAAGCTCTTTGATAGCTTTTGTATGGAGCAGAGGCCTTTCTTGAAGGATTTGCTTCTTCTCCAGGATTTATCTCTAAGTCTTTTACTTGAATTACGAATTATACTACTCATAAAACTGACAAAGGAGATTCTTCTCAAATGATTGTTGCAATGATTTAAAAGTCTCTGTGTTAGGGCTTTTCATTCTGAGAAGTGACCAGTTGTTTTCTGCTTTCAATTTGCATTTTTCTGCCACCCTATTTAGAGTAGTTATAAATTTTTAAAATTATTTTTCTTTTCATTCTTTTCCTTCTAATTTTTTCTTTCCTTTTTTTTTTTTTTGGGGGGGGGATCTGTTTCTAAAGTATATCTATTGCAATAGGTTTAATTTACTTTATATCTTTTAATATCTTGTGTTTAGTAAATTTCTCTTACTAGAATAACTTTTATTATCATAATTCTTAAAAGTCACTTTTTTACTAAAACAAAATTTGAATTGGAGAAAGCATCAGCCTTTCTCTCCACATGATTGTCCAGTATGAATTTCCTAATATTTACTGATTGTAAATGGATAAAAACTTTCCTTCTGCTATAAATATTTCCTCATAATTCTTCAGATCTGTATTTTCCACTGTGACTGGAGAAATTCAGAAGAATTTTTACCTAAGCTTCACTGATGTTTCAGCCATAAACTGTACTAAAATATGCCTCCATCTATACCTTTTTAGATGCTTTAATTTCAGTGTCCTGTGTTGAAAAAAAAACCAAAAAGACATACGCTAATATGAAGTTGAATCCATAAATATTAGTTGATCCCTTTTCTTTTTTACTATGCAACATAGTAATTGAATACACTGGAGTGATGCAAATTTTACAGGTGCATCATTTGATCATGTAAATAATCCAAAAACCACTAGGTTGGTTAACTTTTCTTAAAATAAATAACATCTGTAATTTTTTTCTAATTTTTTTATACAAGCACATGCAAATAAAATATTCAGAGTTTACCACAAATATACACTGCCCAATTCGACTTTTTATTATTTAACCCTGTTGTTTCACAGAGGTGACTGTCTCAGTTTTACTTTTAAAAGGTATGTTTAAGATTTTTAGCTTTTTTGATAGTTCTAGGGAAGAAGGACAATAACTTTAGAGGCCTGATAATGCTTTACTCCACTTCAGCTAATCTCTAATATGCCTTAAACAAAGTCTAACTTTACTTTATTCTCACATGAAAGAATCTACACCATGTCCAAATTTTCCAGGTGACATACTTGCAGAAAAATACTGAGGTAGTTTTACCAAGGTCATCTACAGATTCACTGTCATCTGTTATTAAATTCTGGAGTTCCTGACATCTAGTCCTGAACTTTGACAAAAAAACCAAAATATTTTCAAGACATCATAAAGCAATTTTCCAAATATGATACAGCAATCTAATTCATACGGGATCTAGTCAAAGTGCTTTGATAACCATATACCAATCTCTCAAGTGCATAGTTCTGCTCTTCAGGTTTTGGTTTCAGGCAGATAAATGGTATTTGTTTCACATATTAAAAAATGAAATTCTTGAAATTAGGCCAGGCCTTTCCTCTGCGTCTCTTGAGACCTGCATTATCAAATTTACACCCAAGGCAGAAGGAGCAGACTTCAAAAGTTCCTATATGTTCTTAATAATCTGCATGTCAAAAAAGGAAAAGTACATTACTATTGAAATGGATTCTAGAGAAAAAGAATTTAAAGTTATTCAGATAATTGGTCAGCTTTGGGTTTTTTTAAAAATTTGCTTTTGTAAACATAGGACCAAGAGGGTCTTATTCATACCTTTTTGTGGAAATTGAGTAGATGCCTCTCTATATAGCTTTATTAAGTTCTCTCTGTTAATAGTACTAGATTTGGAAGGCCTCAAATTTTGGAGTTGGTAGTTGGAGTTGAAAAATTGCATTTTTCAGCAGTGTGGATGATCTCTGGGTAGGAACATTTATATACAGCATTATTTTGCAGGTAAACATTTTTTTTTTTTTGACCTGATAAAATTTAGATGCCATTGAATAGAAAGAGAAGAATTAAAAATATGGTAGCTAAAGATTTGCCAGCAAAATTCAAGATGACAAAATTGTTGAAGTCTGAATAATTCATCATTAAAATCATCAAAAAGTTTGAAATGTGCAAAAAAGCAGATTAATCTGAAAAATCAGTGTATCTTGGGATAGAGCAGAATGCTTGATTGATAAATGAGACATATTGCCTGCACAATAAAATAATAATTAAAAGACCAGGTTTATGTAAAAGGAAATGCTGAAATACAATGGGGAAAGCTTATCAGGAGGGTTAATTCAGCAAAGATCCGTAAATATGTTGAGGTTAAATTTATAGTGGGGCCAACATTTTGTTGGTACTTGAGTCAGTAACAAAAGCACAGCTGACTAGTCCTGAAAAGTTGATCTTGAGATTTGTTAGTTGACAGGTCAATGTAAACACCAGATGGAGCATAGAAAGTACAAAGAGGTAATACCTGGACTCTTCACCTAGAGACATTCTCTTCATGGCAACAGTGAGGATCTCACTTTTATTGGCACTTGCCAGTGACAGACAGGGTGTCTATGACATGTCCTCTCCTCATACTCCTTTTAAAATATTTTTTTTCCATGGCTTGTTTCCTCAGGTTTGTTGCATAGGAAGAGTCTAAATGGATTTAAAGGGGCTTAGA